GAAACATCTGTAAGTACAAGACTGGGTGCTGAGGCACTCGAGAATTTACATCAGGCTGTTTATGACCCTCAAGGTGATAAGCAGCATTTTTCCCCAACAAGCTAATGAATGCAGGCTGCCCTGTACAACAGATTATTTCATGAATGTGGGTTCAGTTTTGCTTGGTACTGCTTCATAATTGAGTTTCCCACAGACCCTACCTCCAATGTTACCTTTTCCTTTTTTTTTTTTTGGTGTTTTTTTTTTGTGTTGTTTTTTGTTTTTTTTTTTTGTTTTTGTTTAGGTTTTATTTCTTTGATAAAATAAGAAAGGTGAGAAAAATATCCTCAGATCTTTGATTCATTTTCTACTCAGCTCAGTATCACAGTTTATAATAAATTCTTCTTTATGGTTTGTAAACATTATAGGGTTGTCAATAAATGCCCACTTTTGCCTCTCAACACTCTTCACCCCTTCCCAGGGGAACTGGTTAAGCAGACTTGCATTCAGTCAACAGTGAGGAATTGAAAATACCTCCTAGAGTGACTTCTCCTCTCTAGAGGACTTCTTCACCTCCTAGAGGACTTCTTCCTCTCTTTTGTCCTCACTCACTGAGCTGTCAGGGCCATTAATCTTTCCTTTCCCTGTATGATTCTCTTGCTATCCATGTCTGAATTATCTGACAAATCTAAAAGCTTCATGCTGGTATGGGGTACTCCAAGTAGAAACCCTACAAGTATAGGTGTGGATGAAACTGCTGATAATATGTTCCTCACAAGGATGTGAGTGTACTAAGAAGCTCATCCATACACAAGTAGATGGAATAAAGACCCCTTTGACTCCGTGACCATGCCACCAGCAAGGTCTCCTGCAGTATGAGAGTGCTTTTGTCTTGTGACACTTCCAGCTAAAGCTGGAAGTCTCCAATAACCTGGCCAAGTTGCCCCACCACTCGAGTTGTCCGTGTTAGTGTGACTGAAAAGGTTCATCACTATCTTCAGCATATGCAGAGCTTGGGGAGCTCTACCTCCAAGCCTACCAGCTGGCAAACACTCTCCTGTCACCATGGGAAAAAGGGCTGATGACACCTCCATCTAGAGGAACAGGAACCTCAGCAGGAGCTGCAGTATTTCTAAAAGCTGACTGGAAGCAAGAAAGAGGCTGTTAAGCAAGAAATTAATCTCCCACACCCTCAAAAACTAGCAAGGATTCCCTTGTTATCTCTTATCTAGTCCCCACACCAGCTCTTGCTCGCAGGAGACCGGGGGAGGTATCCATTTCTGGAGAGGCCCGTTCCCCGGCGAGGCACTCACTCACCTGTCTTCTCTTCGCTTTGGCTGCTCTCCACTGTCTCCATTTGGGGTTGCGCTGTTGCCTTGGCAGTAGCATCCTCTGCGGCAGGGGTGGTGGTGGCAGTGGTGTCAGCAGCAGGCACGTCGGCTTGTTTAGGCTCCTCTTTGTCTTGGGCTTCGTCAGCCTTCAAGGACGGCGAGTTCTCAGTGGAAGCTTTAGTGGCACTTTCCCTTTCGGGGGCGGCGGCAGCAGCGGTCTTTTCCTCTGAGGAGGCAGCAGGAGTGGCAGCCTGTGGGGCTGGCTGCTCTGAGCCCGTGTCGGCGGCTCCATCTCCTTTTTTCTCCTCCGCTGGCGCGCTGCTGTCTTTGCTGCCCTCCTCCTGCTGGGCACTGTCAGCGGCGGCTGCTTCTGTGGCAGCAGGAGCCTCGCTTTCTTTGTTCTCGGCCGCTCCGCCAGCAGGGCCTTCCTCCTTCTTGTCGGCAGCATCAGTCTCAGATGCTGGGGCATCTCCCTTCTTCTCTCCCTTGAGCTTTTTCCTTGTTATGTGTCCGCGGAAGCTGGCCTGGATTTTGGTGGCTGCCTTATGAGCTTTGTCTTCTGGTTTGATGCCATCTTGCTCGATCTTTTGGTCTCCATCCTCATTTTTTTCAACCTTTGAAGAAGAACAAGGGAGGAGAGCAGAGGAAGAAAAGAGGGAGATAAGTTTAGATATCTTCAGGTGTAGCAGATGGTCTAATTTTATTGAGAATATCCCATTTTCCTCTCCTTCTAACACTGAAAAGTTTCAAAACAGCCTTTCCATTTGCTGTGGGTTTGGAGCCAGGAAGCCCTAATTTCATCCTAAGGCTGGACAGAACATAGGTCTCTAGCCAAACCACCAGCCAGAGGTTTGTAATAGAAATTGAAAGCACCTCATCATCTCTGTCAGCAGTGCTGAAAGCATCTTGGCTGTGTGGAAAGGCTTTCACCAGCTGGCTAGTCTCTATTCCCATGATTTATTTTCCCATTCATTTTGAAATATACCAATTTTTTTCCCCTACTCATTTTCAAAACACTCTCCTGAGGGAGATTTTCACAAACCTTCCAAATCCACCTCTGCTTTCAAGTTGGTGTTTCTTTTTAATGACACCTTGTTTCGCAGGTGTGTGACTCTAATGACACCAAGTACTTTGTCTTTTATAGCTTTTTGGCTCAGGATTGCCAGCAGAGAATGGGATTGCTGCACCCCGCCGCAGCTCCATGCTGTCAGACACGCACGGATATTCACAGGATGTACTCCTCACAAACTCCCTGCCCACAAGCGCTCCAAGCGCTTTGCCTTTGCTCTCCACTCATGGTTTCACTGAAGGATTAATAGGCAGATTATTATCACTCTTTCCAATTTCAGCTGACTATTATTATTTCTCTGACTATAGGGGGGAGAATTCAGCCTTCTAACAAAGAACAGGCATTCCCTGTGTTTTTTACACTTAAATCATCCATTAAGTCTTAAATGGGACCAAAACAGAGCCTGTGCCTCACACTGGTCTGCTGCAGAGAGATAATACTTAGCTTATAAACCTTCACTGAATCAACAGGACAGACTATGCTTCATCCCAATAATTTAGCAGGCCTTGGGCAAGAAACAGCTCAGCAGCATATTGATGAAAGGACACTGTTCTATTAATAGTGCCATGGGGAAGCATTCAAAAGGCCTACTTGGAAGCAGAGCCACTGGCCTCTTTGCTGTCTGCACCTGGTTTCTAACACTGCCTCAGGTCACAAAACAAAGAAAACAAACTGACTGGGAAAAACAGAAGCATTTATTCCTGCATGGAAAGAGGGAAACACTCCTTTGGCCATTGCAACTGGGATGTGCCATCTGGGAAAAGGCTCCAGACCAGAAGAAAGAGGGGACAACCTACAAACACGTTCAGTCAAAGTGTGGCAGAAAGAAGGGAGAAGAAGCCACTGCAACGTGCAAATGTGGCACTGGAAACATCATGACTGTGGAGAGGGGGAAAGAAGAGTGGCAACAGCAGCAGCAATTCCTGGGAAACAGACTTTCCACAGCACAAGAAAGGGTCAAGCACACATGGGAGTGATGCTCAGCCAGGGAACCAATGCAGTGTCCACTGCCATGCCAGAAGTGGTACCCCCTCTGTGCTCCTGGGTCTCCAGTGAGCACAGCTCCCTCACCCTAGCACTGGTGCTCATCTTTCCTTAAGTGGCTATGGTGGCCAAGGAGTGAGAAGCCTCAAATCATCACAGAAAATTGCCGCCCCACACAGCTGTGCGGGGATGTGGATGGGTCTGTATACAGTGGGAAGTGAGATGGGAGAGGCACAGGATGCTTATGTAGGGGGTGAAAAAGGCTGTGAATGAATATGTAAATGGTATTTATACACAGAATTCTGCTCAAGGAGTTTTTCTGCTCCTGACCATGCCCAGGGACAAAATGGTTGTTGCACCAATCACAGGGTAAGCATTATGTCTACATTCCCTCAAAAGCATTAAATGACACAGTATGGAAGTGGGCTTTTCATGTTTGTCTCAGCTTGTCAGAGAGCAGGTGATGGTTACATGGAAAGACAATACAGGCACCAGCAGGCTGCAACCATTGTTGTGTGTCTTGCATAGCTAGCTCAACACTGTTACTCAGCATCTGGGTAAGCTTTTCAGCCTACTTCAGCACAAGGAGGTGGAAACAAATCTGAAGCATGTTTAAACTAGCCAGATAGTGCAGAGCCTCACACAGGCTCATCCATCCTGTTCCTCAGACAAGTTTTGCAGCTTGCAGTAAGTCCTGTGTTGCTGTGGCAACCTAACTGCTAATACCTGAATTAGCTGGTTTAAGGAGATCTTGGATGTGCCAGCATTACACCGTAGCCACAGCAACATGAAAATAGACTGGTACTCCTTCAGAGAACTGTAGGACACTTAAATGCTGTAGCTTTGATTCCTCCTCCCCACTGAGGCTAGTCTCAAACAGCAGCAAGACTGGGAGACTGGAAAGACAATTTAGACATAACTATGAGGCCTTAAGGGTCCAGTCCCCCTGCCTGATTCCTGTGAAACCATTAATGAATGTGACCAAATTGTTAATCCCTGGACAAATAAGAAAAACATTGACTGAAGGGAGATCTCTCTTGCCACTGGCCTTGTAGCTCTCACATGCCACATACTTCCTACACCAACCAAGACAGCTATTACAGGTTGTGGGCTGCTGCATGCCTGACTTTCTGACTCCAGAGGAGCTGCCCTGTTACCTAGGCTATGCAACCCTCTCCTTCCCCTGTTAGCCAGAGTCCAGGGTACAGTAAGGCACAGGGGTAGCCCTGTACCCCTGTCAGCCCCTGACCTAGCAGGGGATGGGAGAGCACTTCTCTCCAGAGAGGTCAGACCAAAACCTCCCACCTGCACCTACAGCATAGCAGAGCTAAAAGGCTCCTTTGCTATTCCAGTGACATCACTGTCCTCTTCTCCCAGTTAGGATGACATCCAACTGAGTCCTTGCCAGAGCCCAAGTTGTGCAACTGCAAAGTATATTTCCAGCAGGGTGCTTTCAGTATAATTTCAGATACAAAAGATAAGAAACATGAGACTGGGGCAGAGGTGAAGTTCAGGATCCTGTATGAAAGAAATGTACTAATAGTTTGTCTTTGCCAACTGTGGCCCTCAGGAATTCTGTTTCTATTCAGTCCTTCCCCAGTAAAGCATCCCAGGCATTTGAAATTATTTTTTTTTCAGGCTACTGGCCTGCAGCTACTTCTGGGGTAGGACACGGTATCCATAAAGAATGTGTGTCATGTTGTATAACAATGGGTTGGGTGAGAAACAGGTTGTTCAGGGGGAAACTTCTGTTCACACAAAAAAAAAAGCCCCAAGGGCTTTTAATCTGTGAATTATGTGCACAGCAGATAAACCTTAATTAAGGAAGTGCTCAAAAATAACCTGTACACAGCAGAAGCTCCTGGAAAGCAATTTGTCTTCTTTGGAGAGCTCAAAGGGTGAGTAAGCCCTGCCAGGATACATTCAAAACCATCTCAGTGGAAAACAAGAAATCTGTCTGTCTTATCTATCTCCAAGCATTCATTACATCTTGGCTGTAGTATTGTGGCTAGAATAAAGTGACTCTTGTTACTAGTGTCTGCATGGAATCTAGAGTTCTCTGTCAGGAATCAGGTCTGGCAGGGATAAGTTTCAGATATTAGTATTCCATCACCTCCCTCCCCTTTATTTACACATTTATGTGTAAACTCACACCAATACTTAATACTGAGATATTCATGATATTGTTTGGGTATATGCAATGTATTGCCATTTTACACAGAGCAAATGTCCTCTGTTTCATTTAGGTTTAATTAAATCATAGATCCCGTAATGGCAAAATGGTATCACTGAGGGAGTGGATGAAGAGCTAAACAGATCCATAAAAGGACATAGTCAAACATGTCCATTTTTTTATTTAGACTATCCTCACATACCCAATGAAGCCAGTGTGCAAAGCTCTGCCTTTATGAAACACACATTTATGTCTCTATCTACACAGCCCACAGCATCTTTCCAGTCCTGGAGGGATGATCCTCTCACCATCCCCATCTGCTTGTCTGCCACACCTCCAGGTTTCTAGGACATCTCTTCCCATGCAGACTGTTCCTGTAAGTGAAAATTTCCTTTCTATCATGTAGGTGAGAGAGTAGGAGATAAATTAATGTTAAATCACAAATAGGGCAGAGGTTAATTCTCAGGTACCAGGAATGTAGAAATTTCCTGGAGCCATGACAAGAAGATTTCTAATCTCTGGCTGCTTTTACACATTCCATCTCCAAACTCACAGCTTGTTGGAGGCGGGGGCGGGGGGGTGTTGAATTATGGAAAAGAATTAAGGAAGTATTACTATAATCTCCAGACCCTTTAAAATATCTCCTGTCCTGGTACTTCAAGAAAGGAGAAATTGAGAACCTAGGTGTTTTCTAGATGTTCCACGTGTTTGCAGCCACATATAGGCAAAGAAAGGAGACGACTGAATGCTTTGGTCCTTGTTTGCTGTTAGTCCACTTGTCTCACTTGTCTCTCATGGTGTACCTCATTGCCCTTCCTTGGTAAAAATTATCACATTGTTTTGTATTCTGAATGCTGGGGTGAAGAGACCAGGAAAGAAGTTACTGTTTCACTGAAATATATTTGAATATTACACAGCTTCTTCTGCTTCTCTCTCTAGCTCTCCTTTTCCTGGTGTTTCTCTGCCCTCCAATATATAGCATGTATCAACCTCCTTAACATTTATCCTAGCATCAGGCTGCTATATACTCAGCCATCACCCTGGTGTCTTGCTCCTTTCTGTCCTTAGTTAGGAGCTCCTCTTCAACATGACACCAAATCCCAGAGCCCTTTGGTACATGTGGCCATCTCCCAGTATTTTGAAAACAGTGTGCTGGGAGCCCAGATTTAGGACTTACACACCTTTCACCAGACAGGGCTTCAATACTGGCCAGAGCTTGGACATCCATAGGACCATTGACAGTTATCAATAACACACTTCAGCCATTTCACCCAAGGGAAATATGGTATCTGATTATTACTGGGTAAAAAAAAAACCCTAAACAAACAACTGTGTTCTCCACACAAAGGAATAAGGGCCCAGAGTCATTATTTTCTCATTACACCTGTGCTAAAGTACGTGTGGAAACCTTTCCTTCAGTTATTTAGGTGAAACTAGTGCTGAATCACCCAAATACCTGTGCTATTTGTTAGGTTAAGAGGCATCTCAGCCTATGCTCTGTTCCTGACTAGAACACAATGTATGTTCTTACTGATGTTACTCAAGGCCACTGGGACTCACAAAGAAATTTAGGCATCCAGCTCCTAGTGATTTCCCAGGATTGAGTCACCTCAGCCTTTTTCATGGGCTTGGCTCCACATGACCTGATTTGTCTCAGAGACAGCATTTAAGGAGCAGAATGTATTAAAAAAAAAGACCAGCTGTCTCCCCAGAAGGAGCGAAGCATGGACACGTGAAAGAGAGAAAAGGCTTTCACACTTTGGGAAGTGAGGAAGCGATTTAGCACACAGAACAGCTTTTTTAAACCCAGTTAAATGGTGTGAAGACACCTGGCTAGAGGATGGCACCTGCCAGCACAACCTGTCTTCAAGGTGAGGAAACAAACAGAGTTCCTTTGCTCTCCCAGGATGGCTGTGGTGATGGTGGGTAAAACCTCCTTGAGAAAGAAAAGGTTAATTCATCCCTCTGAAGGCCTATGCAGGATTGCTCCCCAGGGTGTAACTAGCATGGTTTCAGCTCTCCAGTTTCAAATCCTCTAACAATGGGGTTTCCACCCTTTCCTCTACAAGATCCTCCAATAAGTAGGAAAATTCCCCTCTATTTTATGGTGCCTAGATTAAAATAAGATGACAGTCAGGCAGAGGGATGGATGTTATTCATTCATTACAGTGGCTGCAAAGAGAGATAGAAGACAATTAAGCTAAAACCATTTAGATATTTCTAGTGAGCCTTCTCAATAAATCCATAGTCACTTCACCTGTTTTGTGACCCTCCCTTCTGTCAGTCACCCTGTTTCTCTTAACCTGGTGGTCAACCACAGTGTCCTCTGCCACCCTGAAGCTCCAACAGCTCCAGCAGTTAAACAGAAAATAAAAAACATCACTACTGTTTATGTTGCCTTTGCAGGCCAGGTGAAAGAAAGTAGAGCCTTGTCCCTGAAGGGGACACAAAGAGGATGATGTTCAGGATGATGTTCATGTTTCTGGAGCAGAGAAGCTCACAGGGGAAAACACTTGCCTTGGGTCTGGTCTGGGCTCTATGGAGCACTTTGGTGGCTGTGGGTCACAGGCTGCACTCACTCATCTTTAAATTTAAAACACCCAGAGTCTCCGAGACAGGACTGGGTTGGAACTTGAGAAGGTGGTGCTTTTATAGTTCATGACAAGCGTGTGTGCATACCCTGGGGTGTGGCCTAAGTGTATGAAGGCACTTCAGGCCACGAGGTCTGTGGGGACTGTGTTGAGGGTCTTGAGGGTTTGGCACAATCAACATCTATGCTCTTGCTTGAGGTTGGATCCTAGTGCATACTGTACTGTCAGTTGTGTCTAGTCTCCTTTTTGGAGGGAATTACTTGTGTCACTCCAGAAGGAACCACTCAGCAGGCATTCAAATCGAGGGATCAAAGCCTAGAAAAGAAGCAGGAAAGTATCCAAGCTGACAATGTAAATCTACTACCAAAATAGCCCACACTGAAGAAATTCAGCAAAAGGACCCAGTGGAAAATTTCCCTTGAACTATGATTTGATTAGAAAAGGCCATTCAAAGAACAGATTATTTTTGATGCAGTTGCGCTTAGATAGAAATGCAAGCTTGCATGTCACTGGACTAAATAGAAATTTTACTTTTTAAGCTCAAACTATGTGGTTTTCTTGGTTGGGTTTCGGGCAGTTTGGGCAAGGATGGTTGCTGCTATGTGGACTATTTTGAAGCAGCATATTCCGACTCTGAAATCAGAGTCTGATGACCATGAGCAGGTAATGAAACCCAGAATTATCAATATCTCTCCCTCCCTACATTTTCTCTCCCAGTCTATTTCCCCCCCCCCCTTTTTTTTTTTTTTTTTAATATATTCCTAGCTTCACTCAGGGCACAGAGGCTAATTTCCTGCTCAGACTTGCTCCCCTGAGATCTTGGGCAGACAGCTGCTGAGATTCCCCAGAGTCCAGGCTTATGCAAGGTCTCCAGAATGACCTCCATAGGAAGCAGAAGCTTATGTCCTGCTCCTACCCCATTCCCTCCATGGCAACACAGGGCATCCCATCCTTCAGGCCTGTCAACAGCACTCAGCTTGGTGTTGTCTACAAATATGCTGATGGTGCACTTGATCCCTCTGTCTCTGTCACTGAGGAAGACATTAAATAGCACTGGTCCCCATATAGACTCCTAAAAGTCACCACTTGCCATCAGTGTCTACAGGGGTTTCAAGCTGTTGACTGCTACACTCTGGAGGTAACTGTCTAACCAACTCCTCACCCACCAAAGAGTCCTCCCATCAAATCAATCTCTCCAGTTTAGAGAGAAAGATGTCATTTGGGACCATGTTAAAGGTCTTGCAGAAGTCCACATGGTGACATCTATAGCCCTTCCCCTGCTCACTGGAGTAGTCACTCCATCACAGAAAACCACTAGGTCACTCAGGCAGGACTTGCCCTTTGTGACACCACCACTGCTTTATACCGAGCACCTGCACAAAGAAATGGTGTTTCTTCTCCTGAACTGCAGCTATAGCCAGGTGAAACCCTGTGGCTGCCACCTGTGCCTTCAGTGTCACACACAGCAATTAAACTTTAGGAGGGACAAAGGTGTGTATCTCAGCTGAAAGTACATGGTGAGCTGAAGAAAGCAGAAAAAGGATTTTTGATTGGGATCTAGCAAGGCCAGTACAGTAAGCACTGCCTTTCTTACTGTTCCATTAACCTACTGGTCAGACCTTTGTCTTTTGTTTTTCCAGTCTTGAAAGAGAGCCTAGCCCCAAGCATCACCTTTAGCCAACAGCTTCCCCATTCACTGAGGAGCACCATACAGTCTTTCAAATCATGAGATCTGCTCTTAGCAAAACCAAAAAAACCAGAGTTGTAGGTCTACACAGTTTGACAAACTGGCTTGAAAACAGCTCTGCCAAAGATATCCTCTTCCATAGCCTCTTCAGCTTTAGTTCCAAATATGCCAATCCCACAACCCTGCTGCAGAGTTGAACTCTGTGTGCACCATGATATTGTATCCCCAAAGTGCAGCAATCCATTGCCAAGGCTTCTGCCTATCAGTATAGACTCTCTCTTCTCACTGGGGTAGCAGGCTTTTTATCAGCTTCTGGTTCTGATGGATCCAACAGGTCTCACTGGCATGGCCTCTCCTTAGCCAGCCAGGAGCAGGAACAGCCCTACTGGCTCTGCTTTTTCCTCCATAGGATTTCCTGACCCTGTTAACACCAGCCTCAGTTTCACTAGGACAGGATATCAGCCTAACTGCTGGAAGGCAGAGAATGAGGGTGTCGAGTCTGGATCTGATCTTCATAGAAGCTCAGTTTATTGATTTATGTTGTGGATCATCAGGCCCACTGGGACTTGACTGACCCCGAGACTGCCCTTACGCATCCCCTGGCTTGCCCTGGCCATTGTCTCCACCCATCTTTACTTCAGTGGCACCAGTGTAAATATCTGCCCCACAGATCTTCTACAAGGTTTCTGACAGGACTGTTGTGACAGCCTGTATATGAATTCACTACAAGCAGTGGGTAAGACATGGACCCATCTTATGAATCTGAATTCTTCCGAGCACCTCTATATCTTGGATGCAAGGGACCTTAAAGAAAACTTTATGTGAAATTATTCTTGGCCTACATTTACTGTTCATTTCTCATACGTGTTTAAAGTAGAAGCATAGAAGGAGATCTATCAATATCTCCTCTCTGCTTAGGCACTACTACAGGTGAGAACAGGAAGAGTTAGACCTACTTTTAAGATGTCAAATACAGGAGACAGGTCACTGGTCCCACTATGAGCTCTTACATACTGCTGACTCACAGAAAAGTGTGAGAAGATCCAGACCATTTTCTTCTATTCCTTCTATTCCAACTTATTTACTGATTAACAGTAGTACAGTAATCTTATTTGAAGTCCAGTGCCAAAAGCAATGTCAGATGATGAAAGTGGAGTTTCATTTCATTGATTCCAGTGACATTTTCCTAGGGATAATTTTTACAATATCTCTGTGGTCCACTGCTCCAAACAACTTACAAATTGGAGATATTGTTAAGTTCCAGAAGGACTCTGAACATAATTAAATTAGTATTTGTAGTGCTGCAAGAACCTCAAATGCATGGTGTGTAGCTCAGTAAAGCATTGTGCAATATTTAAGCCGTGCTCTTATCTACTTCCTCCTGTCAGTGCAGGATGAGAATATCCTAAAGGGGGGCTTAAGTGTCTGCTGGAACCTGAGAGGTCTCCAGAGGGGACATGTATGACACAGCTTCTTTCACACAGAATCTGGGCTTGACTGCCTAAGACTATGCCTGGTTTGTGTAACTCCAGTGCTTCCCAAGGTCTGTAAAACTGATAAATCAGGTCTCTGATTGCTGCTGTCACTCCTTAGTGGCATAGTCCAGAGGGCACAATGTTGTGCCACACCCCTTTTCAGGTGGGTTGTCACCAGAGTACAGGCATGGTTTTTGACCGGGAAGATCCTGAACACAAGACTCAGTAACCCCAGGGCTTAATCATTTTTTCTAGACCCTGGCACTGAGCTATGGGAAATGCACATATGGCTTTGAGCCATTCTGTTTTCTCCTTTGCTCCTTTACTGTATTCAACCCTATTGAAAAGGGAGGAGGGGGAGGCAAGCCTGCAGTGCCTGCTGCAAAAACCCCTTTGTGGACCCTGCTATTTTCATGCTATAAAGACCCCTGGCCAAATGGAACATGTTGAATAGATGTGCTAGGAAAAAAGCCCTTGGAAAAAGTCTTTGGATCCACCACTTGTAAGGACTGGTATATCACAGGCACATTTAAATAGTCATCCAGATCTTCTAATCTTCCTGTTGCAGGAAGATTACCACCTTTATTTATTTCATTTTTTTCACCACCCTGCTTCCCATTTTAAAGCTGTTCTTAAAAAAGGGCTTCAATAAATATTTAGCATCTTTGTCATAAGGTCTTCTAGTTTTTTTCCATTTTCAGTCAGGAAGTATGTCAGTAGCCTCAAAGCACTGCATATCACAATGTCTTTTGCCCGGGCACAGTTTAGATGACTCTGCAACTGGCGCATCTGTAGCAGAACTGTACTCTACATCCAGAAACCCCTGGAGCCCAACCTGTGGGGGGCTTTACTCAGAGGGCCCCTGGCAGAGAAGCTGAGGAAAAAGGGACCTTGGTAAGGACTCCTACGATGGCTGGGCAGGCAGAGTGCACAAAGCTACTTCCGTGTCTTTCTACTCTGATGCAGTTGTGATACGGAATTAGGGTTTTCATCCTGACTTTCCGGAATAGGAACTTTCTTACCTCAGAACTCATGCAAAGCCAGACAGAAAGCACTGGGAAGCTTGCACTAACACCAGAAAATGGACAGTGTTTCCTCTTCTCTTAGTAAGAGCCAGTTCCTGCTGAGTGGCTTTGTCACACACTAAAGAGAAAATAATTGAAAATCTCCAGGGTCCTCTAGACCCTCCCTGTACAGTGCAGCATGGCTGACTTTGTTCATACACCCTGCAGGAGTGTTTTTTACCAGTCTCGGGACATTTGCCCCAAAAAATGACTCTCTGGGCTCCTGTGGCAGTTTATTCCTTCGGTGAACTAAAAGATTCCTCCCCACATTTCAGCCAGTCCCTGCATCTTGTCCATGCCAACATTAGTTTCTGCTTTTTTAGTAACACTCCTTCATATATCAACAGCTCTCAGTTGTCATACCAGCTCCTTTGTCAGATCACTCCTCCTAGCCCTCTTAAACCCTAACCAGAGATCTTACTTGATTACTGAATTTACATTTGTTCTACTTAGAAATTACTAAAATGTCTCCCCAGCTTTAATGAATAATGAAACACTATACTTACAAAAATAGTAATTAGCAATATAGCTCAAAATAAATCAATGTGTGGATCAGACTCCCAAAGGCAGGAGGAAAAGCTGCAGCCTTTAAAATAGGTGGAGCTGAAAATAGCTAAACACTTGGGGATAAAGAAAGGGGAGAAAAAGCTTAAAGGAACTTATGAATGGCCAAGTCTTATAGATAATTAGCAATCCACACATGGATTGCTACCACTGGACTGAGTCTGACTGCTCCATTTCTTGTCAGTTCCCCTCAAATACTATTCAGCACATTTAGAAGTTTTCTGAGGATGTCAAGCAGCTGGAACAGGCAAGAAAAGTAAGAGGAAATAGAAGAATGTCAAACCCTCATGAGTGGTTGTCCAAGAGTTTCCATCAGGGTTCCTATCATCCTTCCTTCCAGATGAAGGAAGAGGTACTCACTTTAAGAAGAACCAAATGTAGGAGGATTTATAACACTGAAAACCATTATTATTTCCACATCCTTGGGATGGATCTCCCTTGTGGTGTCGGAAAGGAAGCAATTAAACAAGCAATGGGAGACAAGACAATGAGAGTGTGTTGAAAGGGCATAGGGAGCACACTGATTTACAGAGGAAAAACAATTCAGATACTACAGCAGCCAGCTTATTTCTCCTAGCACCACCTAAATATAGTGTTATTTTTTGGTAGAAAGTCATGATTCTACTTCTTCAGCAAGTCACAGGACAAGGCTGGTTCTTGCCAGAACAATTTATTGACCCATTAACAATAAAAATATCAAATAGTTCATAAGACACATCCTTGGAGTCAAAAAACTCATAGGTCTGCTCAAACAACCCAATTATGGTATGCATATGTCTACATTACGTGGCCAGGTCATGTCAGTTCTTGTACTACACTTTTCATATTAACCAGTCCCTCTGTCAGGAAAATAGAAACAATGAAAAAACATGCAAATTCCATCATAGTGAATGATTATCTATCTAAAATCTTAGCCCAGGAGTATAGTGGTTTCTTTCTTTCTTTTTTTTTTTTTTTCTGTTTTTTCTTTTTTGGTAACTCTTTCTTTTCTCTCCTTCCCAGTTGGGGGGGAGGAAATTATATGGTACAACTATCACCAACTGCATGTCACAAACACACACATATGTATAAACATAATGGAGCAAGTGAGCAAATTGCAATGAACACACTGCCTGAAGTCAGGCTGCATAATGAATTCATTAAATGCTACTGAAATTAAATCAGAAACTAATCCTAAATAGAAAATACTTTCAAACAGATTAAATTCAACAAGACTCACTTGATTCTTTCCAGAAAGAATGAGTTACGAATGTACAAACACTTTCTGTACTCTCAAACCAACCATTAATTTTTTGGAATCTGCCTGATCCTTAGACTATCTGCGGATACTCATGTGGAATTGCACCTGCTGGGGCTTTCAGGTGACTAACATTTTGATTTCAGTGCAAAGCAGAGAAAAAAGTTTCTACATGTAATTTCCTTTGGTTGCAGAAGCAATTATTTTGAAGCCTGAAGAAAATATAACACATTCCCCCAAGATTGTACTCTCACAGAACTTTACCATGAATTATTAACATTTTAGTATACATTCCTATGCTTAAGCTCTAACAGTTCCCTATAAACTTGATTCAAAGAAGAATTAAAGGGCCAGATTTTAAGGAATGAATAGTGGGATCTTAACAAATGCCTCATAGCCTTAATCCTATTGAAACCAGTGTGAATTAGGCACCAAGGCTTTCTGAAAATCCTGCTAGGCTCCTGCCTATATAAATCTTATTTGTTAGAGCAGTTCTGTAAATTACCTAATACCACCCTGCCACTGTTTGGAAAAAGGCTTGTAAATATCTGCTGTGAGATTGCAAAGTAAAACAAAGTGGCTTAAAGAAGACTTAAAGCGCTAGTAGGAAATCTGGATATTTGGAGATTAGGAAACTCAGGGGTATAAAAGGATTACACTAAAATCTTGGTCCTAATTTTTGCAGTTGGAAGTTAAAATGCAGGAGGGAGAAGTCTGGCAAAGGAGAACAGAAGTTCAGGGTTAAGGCAGCTAACAGATGGCTGTCCTACACCTCTGCCCCACCTTTGCTGCTGATTCCTCTGTTATCCTGGCCCGTGTTTTTCATGGGGTCATTCCAAGTGACAAGTTCTGCATCTCTGAGTAGCTGACTTCAGACACCTTGAGTCTCATTTGGAGCAGTGCCGAGCACTCAGAGCTGCAGCTGACAGTAATGGGAGATGTTTTCAGATATGTGAAACTGAAAACGAAAACTATGAATAAAGGTCAGGCCCTCTGTTTCTAAAATTCAGGACATAAAAACTAGGGCATCCTGCTGACCAAACTCTTCGTGCCTCAGCTGTCCACCTGCAAAAATGGAGTAAAAATATTCTGTTATCTCACATGGCTGTTGCAAAGATTTACTAAGTGATATCAGGGATGTGCTCAGAATCACAAGACAGCTCAAGAGTAAATTTGTACTTCTGATTTCAGAACAAGGTTTGAATACTATTAAGCAAAGTTGTGGAGGTCACACACTGACTTATTTGAGAATTCAAAATATTGAATAACTGCTCATTAAGTGAGCACTGTCCATTCTGTGACCTGAATGTGGTCAGAATCCCTGAAGAGAAAAATGTGTTCCTGTCATTAGAAATGTACTGAAATGCATTCACAAGAGAAGACCATACTGAGGTTGCACAGACAACTACATTCCCAGTGTTGGCTTGGTTTTTTTATATTTGCCTTAGCATCTTTAACACCTTTCTTCTAACATAGTTTCTCCATGGTCTTTTTCACACATATATTAGCTCATGTTGCAGCTGAAGTCTAAATCTATTTCCACTCCCAATAATGTGGTATGATTCACCTTTTACCCAGATTTCACTTTCTAAAATGTAATGAACTACATCATGGGAGCTCAAACCTTTTGGCTTCATCAGCATCTTACAACAAACCCCAAAAAACCGAAAACAACTTTAAATGTCCAAGAGGTGTCAAGCCCCTGACCAGTACCCTTAGTCTTTGAAAAAGCTACTCCCAAGCAATGGCTCCCCAGGGTACCAGCATCCAGTGTGGGATGGGATGAGGCCAAGTGTCCAGCTGAGTCCCAGAGCTTGTAGGAAGCTGGTGGCCTCAGAAGCCCCTGGGGGCTTCCTCCCACATGGAGATATGGATAAAAAAGCACTCACAACATCAGCAGTGTGCTGGCAGTAACACAGCATATCTCCATAACCCCAAGCTGCACCAGGGGAGGTTAAGGTTTAACACAAGGAGGAATTTCTTCACAGAAAGGGATATCATGCATTGGAATGGGCTGTCCAGAGAGGTGGTGTAGTTGCCATCCCTGGAGGTGTTCAAGAAGTGACTGGATGTGACACTCAGTGCCATGGTTTAGTTGACAAGGTGCTGATCGGACAAAGGTTGGCCTCAACAATCTTAAAAGTCTTTTCCAAGCTAAATGATTCTGTGATTCCATTGTGGGAGTTACACTCAGTATCTGCCTCTGGGTCCAAAGCCACAAGTTGTCCATCCTTGAATTAGGTGAAGCAGGATTATCAGTGGAATATGAAGGGGTTTTCTTAGTAAAAAAAAAAAAAAAAAAAAAAAAAAAAAAAAAAAATTAATAGAAAGTACATCTTATCTGGCAGTTTAATGAATGCACCACTACTGCATCAGGGAAAAGCCCCCTAAAGATTTAATCATTTAATATGTGCAAAAAAAGCTACTGTAGAGAGAATTACTTTGTTCAAAGGATCAGCTATACCCTTGCCTAGTTTTTGTCAGCTCTGTAGCTATCCTGGAACATCAGAGCTGGAATAGCAGGGCTGCTGCAGGGCAGAAGCACAGGGCATTGATAGAAGTGGAGCAAAGGAAAGGCAGAAATCCTGTTTAGGACTTTCCATGCTCTGTATAACTGAGCACTATTTCACTGCAACTGGCAATAAAATTACCTCCTGTTTACACCACAGTACTTGAAGCTTGTGGTTTTTGAAAAAACTGTGCCTATCTCCAATTCTGATTAACATCTCCAGGCATTTCTGTGCTGCTCAGCTTTCAGAAATGGATTTCCAAACAGCAGAACTGCTTGGTATGGTACCCCTCAGAGGTACTCAGCATCCTCTGTTGTCTACTGCACCTGACAGCAAGAGTTTAGAGGCAAGTATCTAAGAGAAGTTGATACTATCTAAAGGTTGGGGGTATCAGCATCGATGATACAATAATGCATGAAGCTGAGAAAAAATGAATCATATGTGAAAGATGGAACTGGGTGGATATAATGAGGCAGAGCAACAAGAAGCACATTTTGCCCTCTGCAAGAACAGTTCAGAACCATGGAAGAGAAGCAAGCAAACCCTGACAGTGGGGCCACTTACTGCACTTTGTGAGATGGGAAAGCTGACCTTAGCTGGTAAGGCCCCTTCAATTCCAGGGCAGGTGCTTACAAGTTACAGCATTATCTGCTGCGGTCAGTGCTTCTCCTTCTAGAGGGATACGAAGCCAGCAAAGTCCCACAATCACAGATACTTCCAATAAATCTCTCTCCTGATGTAGTCTGGTGCCTTTTCTGCCACCCCTTCCATTTCTGTGCCGTAGCAGTGCACATTTCCACAAGCGTTACAGCAAGGTTAAGCTAAAATCCCATCTGCTTTGGGAACAGTAGGGACTATAAAATCCCCACCATGTCACAAAAGCTAACACAAGGTCTACATTTCCACTGCCTTCCTGGCAAATATGCATCAGGTTTGGCCTGGAGAGACAACCACATTTTCACTTTGCAACATGGTGTATTTCTTTCCTATACTGACAGCCTCTCCACTTCATTCTTAAAGTGGTAGAGGGACAGTGTCCTTCCTCCAGACCTGAGAACAAGACCTTCTCTTTTGGCCACCTACACTGCCTCCATGAAATATCTCTTTTGATTGCTCTGTCTTGACTGTCAGCAGTGCTTTGTGCTCTCGTTGGGGAAGTAACTTTCTTCTGGAGATAATTCATGGACACAGAGGCTTAGGAGGCAACACAACAGTTCAGCAGCAGCTAGCACATGTAGCCATGGTAGGAAAAATTCCCTGCCTGTGCCTGACCAGAAAATTGTGTCCCATCTTACAAACTAGAGATTTGATACAAGCAATACAAATATTCATGATCTCCACAGTAAGCAACAGCATGTTCAGATTTGGAGAAGGCTCTCATCAATAAAAGTGTATGACTGTACCACCAAGGTTCTTGCCTCTTCTCATGCTCCCTTAAGCAGAGTTTGAAGACTCTGATCTCTTTCTTAAGCACATCCTGGTGTGGAGCTTATGATCCAGACCCTGTTGTGAGCACAACCTCCCCACCTGGAGATCCTCCAGGGCAACAACCTGGAACTTCATCAGACCAGCACAATCTCAGAATCCAGGCTCTATGACAGCATGGACCTGGCTTGCTTCCACTACTTCAGGGTCAGCTCTTCCTTATGAGATCCTCCCACAGAGTCCCGTAGGCAGATATATGTTCCACCCCACAGACACAAAGAAAAAACGACTGGTAAATAAAGCAAACAAATTCTTTTCATTACTCATTTTATTTCAGGTGAGAAGAAGGGAGGGGAAGAAGAAAGGAACAAACATATCATTTTTCTGTCCTTTCTAGATTAATTCATTCAGAAGAGACATGAATGCTAGTTTAAAAGCTGTTGGTTATATAAAGAGAAAACAGGCAGAATTACTGCAGCAGATTATTCCACTTAGATCTGTGCCTTGGTTTCCTCATATACAAATGGAGTATTAACAAGAGTGTTCCAGGATTGGTTTCTTAAGGTTCTTCCCTCCAATATCAATGAAAAGTGTAGCACTAGTCTCAGTAATAACAGCTTTGGCCCGTTTTTTCCCAATTATTTTGCAACCTAACATTCACAGGCACAAGTCAAAAGTAATGGGACTCATGTATTACATAAAAAGCCTGTCTCAAAAGCATCTTTCGGGGCACATGTTAAAGGCAGAAGCAGAAAATGTAAAATGGACACTACCTCTGAAACCTCACTTTGACTTTCCTGCAGATGCCTTTTAATAGTCTTTATTGTATCTTTTTTTTTCCTTGAAAGTGTTCCCCACCTCAGCTACTACAAAGGACAGAGCTCACAGAGTGGGTAGCAATTCAGTATTTTCCTAATTTCCAGTATTATCCTAATTTCAAGCACAGCAAAATGCCATATTTGCCACCCACCATTCAAACCCATCACTGAATTCAAAATTCTGATTTCTTCATGGTCTTTCTCTGTGTTGCTATTTTGCCATAATATCTCATTGCTTCATGAGCCTTAATGGATGTTCTCCCAGGGAGATAAGTGGGGTTGTTATCTCTATCATACAGACACTAAAATCAAACAAAAAGAAGCTACGATCAACCAGAGCAATGACAAATTTTGGGTCCCCAATTCACGATGCCTCGGATTAGTATCTCCCCAGCTCTGTGTGTGTTGACAGCAAACCTCCACACAATACCAGCTCTGCTCTTCTGCAAGTCAGACCCCAGGTGTCTCAAACCAAGAATCCAGAAAACAAGAACACGCCAATTAGTGGCCACCCATGGAAAACCTCATTTACGTGGCCTTTTCATATCACATAGGAACTTGTGACAAGAGGCTGGAAAAAGCCTAATTCTTCAGGGCAGTATTCAATTGCCAAAATACAAGACCATTCTTCTGTTTTTGAACAGCCCCCTGCCCAATTCAATACATAACCTTCATCACTGGCAGTAAATGCAACAGGAGACCTATAGAAATCAGCTTTGTTTATGGCAAAACTCATTCAGTCCCTAAGTGTATTCCATTCTGTGCACTGAATGAGACAGGGATCTTATTGAAAAAAAAAAAGGTACCAGTATTTGATCTTATAATTAAGAACCACATTTTTATGTCTCTTCATGAAAGAAGACAAATTAAAGATAGGCAACCCTTTTAATTAATTTTCTGTATACTAAGTGTTTGACTGTGAAAACTAAATATATGCTTAATAAAGGTGTTTAATCTTTAATTTTAAATGTAAACTAAAAAGGGAGAAAATAGGAAATTTCATCATTTGAAATCATAACATTCCCCTCCTTTGTATTATAAAGGTGCAACTGTTACCTCTTAAATGGTTGCAAAATTCTTTGCACTTTCAAAGCTTTACTCCTCTAATCTCATCAGACAAATAAATTAAAAAGCCACAGTGTCTATTTGAAGAAGACCCCTACCAAGACAATTCTTGTCCGAGCCGGAAAAGCCCAGCAAAGTTTGATGTAGATGAAAAGATTGTCTTTGACTATTGCAATTTATCTCATCTCCCAAAAGCTGGGTAATCCTGACTATAGGCAGGGTGTCTTGTTCCCCCTCTTGTGCTGTGAAAAGACTCAGGAATAAACAAAGGATATATTCCTATGGGTTATACAGATTTAGCATGAGATACTGGAGGATACCACAGATCAGCTTTAGCTCTTCTATACTCCCATGTAACAATAGCTCTTCTGCTGCAGGAGAATACAACCAGAGAAGGTGAATTATATCCCAGTATATTTTATTCTGTATTCCCAGAAACCACTGAGACACATCATAATGGCAGCAGAAGGGATTAAGCACTGAAGGTGACTTCTGGTAGGAGTACAACACTCTGGTTGGGAATTTCTGAGTGCCATATGATGCTTTGAGATAATTCATGTCAGGCAGGTAGATGGAGCCATCAATTGATAAATCCTTTGTAAGAATTCTCCCATGAAGATGATGAACAGTGCACCTCAGTGTGGAGTTCCAGCAGATGTTTGTGTTCAGGAGACAGATGTTGGAGCTAAGTCTAGGAGGAAGGTGAGACGTCTTGCTGAAACCATAACTTTAAGTCCACTAGAAAATATGGGTAGAAGTGGGCACCTCAGTACCATAATACACCAAGTGAATGCCTTTAGAACCTGGCTATAAAAAATATAAAAAATGCTGAAGACAGAGTGACATCTAAACAGTCTGGGTTTAGGCATCTTGCTCTGGTTATTGGGGAGGTATCTTTGGATTTGGATCCAAGCCCTGAACTGCTGTACTGAAAAGAACAACTCTAGTTCCTCTCTGACAGCATGTAGTAAATAACTATTTATTCAGTATCTCAATGGACACACTAGCTTCCCTAAATTATGGAAGATGTTGATCCAATCTCTACTGTACCTGAAAAGATCACAAGTCTTACCTCCCTCCTACAAAAGATTGTTTAGAATGAGCTGCTCCTAGCTTTTCCTGTGTAAGCTCCTTGGCTTTTTCCATAGAAGAATTAAATAATCATCAGGCCAGAGATAGAGAGCATACAAAAGTAAATATCACTTTATATCCTACTGGTTAAGCACACCCCTGCAAGAGGACAGATTGGGTCCAGGTTCTGCTTCAGTGAATATTTGATAATAATCATATGAAATAGTGTTGAAGGAGCACGAGAGACCATTTAGTCCATCCTCTGGTCCAGAGGTACTTCCTGCATCCCTTCAGTGACTGAAGCTGCCATAGTTTACTCAATATATCACAGTGCATCATAATCTTTTCAGACACCCCATTAAAGACCATCACTCCTAGCTTTATACATCATGGGCAGCAGGAACAGATTACTCCTATTTTCTTTCACTT